ATTCCTCAGCACCACATAAGCAAAAAGAAAAAAGCCAGAAGTGGCGCTGTGACTCAAGTGGTAGAGCGCTAGCCTTGAGCTGAAGAGCTGAGGGACCCAAAAAAAAAAAAAAAAAAGGAAAGAGAAAGGAAGGAGAAAAAGGGGAGAGGGAAAAGGAGGGAAGGAGGGAAGGAGAAAACAAGGAAGGAAAGAAGAAAGAAAAACATAAGCCCTTCAGATCCTTGAATCAGATCAAGTTCTGCCCTGTCTTTTTTTCATGCCCGTATTTACTATGTTTATACTAACTAGGCCATGTGTTCTTGCCAGGTGTGACAGTTTGGGAGTTGATGACCTTTGGAGCAGAGCCTTATGCAGGACTTCGATTAGCTGAAGTACCAGACCTGCTAGAGAAGGGGGAACGGTTACCACAGCCCCAGATCTGCACCATTGATGTCTACATGGTCATGGTCAAGTGTGAGTTACCTGCTGACCCCAGACATTTTATAAACGTCTCTCCCAATCCCTTCACAGCTCTATTCTGATCTCTGCTTCAACCTCCTATATCTCACCCCCAGGTTGGATGATTGATGAAAATATTCGCCCAACTTTTAAAGAACTAGCCAATGAGTTCACCAGGATGGCCCGGGACCCACCACGGTATCTGGTCATAAAGGTGCGAAGGGACTAGGAAATATCAACTACATTTAGAGATGACTTAGCTAGAATCAGGATTCACCTCAACATTGCATTTCTTTGCAGAGAGAAAGTGGGCCTGGAATATCCCCCGGGGCAGAGCCCCCTGCTCTGATAAACAAAGAACTGGAGGAAGTAGAGCTGGAGCCAGAATTGGACCTAGATCTAGACTTGGAGGCTGAGGAGGACAGCCTGGTGACCACACTGGGCTCTGCCCTCAGCCTACCATCTGGGACGCTTAATCGGCCACGTGGGGTGAGATGACTTAGGATTGCCAAACACTCTGCACCATATAAGCTGTCAATAGCAAGATTAACTATTCAAAGACCTCCATGGCAAAAGTACATTTCTTCCTTCATTTTAACCTTTACTTTTCTCATCCTAGAGTCAGAGCCTTTTAAGTCCATCATCTGGATATATGCCCATGAACCAAAATAATCTTGGAGAGGCTTGCCTGGTAAGGTCTGCTGCTAAGAGGGTTCTATGGGTTTGATCATGTTGATAGAGGTAGAAAAGAAGGCACCAGAAAATTTTTGGTTTAATTAGCATCCCGCATAAAAGAAGACATTGAGCTGTGCATTGGTGGCTCACGCCTGTCATCCTAGCTTCTCAGGAGGCTGAGATCTGAGGATTGTGGTTCAAAGCCAGCCTGAGCAGGAGTCTCTCATCTCCAATAAACTTCAAAAAAGCCAGAAGTGGAGCTGTGGCTCAAGTACTAAAGCACTAGGCATGAGCACAAAAGCTCAAGGACAATGCCCAAGCCCTGAGGTCAAGCCCCAGGCCCAGTACACATTGACAAAAAGAGTTGGAAGGACTGGGCAAGTGGCTTACTGGTAGAGTGCTTGCCTAGCATGCATGAAGCCAGGGGTTGGATTCCTCAGTACCACATAAACAGAAAAAGCTAGAAGGGATGCCGTGGCTCAAGTGGTAGGGTACTAGCCTTAAGCAAAAAAGCAGCTCAGGGACAGTGCCCAGGTCCTGAGTTCAAGCCACAGGACTGGTTAAAAAAAAAAAAAAAAAAGACATTGAACAACCTAGCCATCGTTCCTCATACCGTGTAACTAGCTCTGTATTCTTTTCCTCCTTAGGAATCTTCAGCTTGTGGGGGTAATGAACGATATCCTCGCCCAATCTCTTTGCACCCAATGCCGAGGGGACGCTTGGCATCAGAGTCATCAGAGGGCCATGTGACAGGCTCCGAGGCTGAGCTCCAGGAGAAAGCATCAATGTGTAGGAGCCGAAGCCGGAGTCGGAGCCCGAGGCCACGTGGAGATAGTGCCTACCATTCCCAGCGTCACAGCCTGCTTACACCTGTCACCCCACTCTCCCCACCAGGCTTAGAGGAAGAGGATGTCAATGGTTATGTCATGCCAGATACACACATCAAAGGTACCTGACTCCTCTTAGGGCTTTCCTCAAATCTTCTATTCCTTTCTCCAATCTCCTAGTTCCTCTTAATTCTTTTATCTTCCCTGATCATATCCCTTCCTTTTTTTTTTTTTAAATACCATGCAGAGGAGCTGGGAAGGTGGCTCAGTGGTAGAGCGCTTGCCTTGCATGCCTGAGGCCCTGGGTTCGATTCCTCAGCACCACATAAGCAAAAAGAAAAAAGCCAGAAGTGGCGCTGTGACTCAAGTGGTAGAGCGCTAGCCTTGAGCTGAAGAGCTGAGGGACAGCACCCAGGCCCAGAGTTCAGGCCCCACGACTGGACCCAAAAAAAAAAAAATCCCATACAGAGGGGTTACAATTACATGGGGAAGATAATGAGTGCATTTCTTATCAAGTATTGTTGCCTCCTCCTTTGTTTCCCCTTCCCATCCCTTTGCATCTCCCACCCCCACCCTTTTTTTTTTGTGCTAGTCCTGGGATTTGAACTTAGGGCCTGCGCACTGTCCCTGAGCTATTGTACTCAAGGCTGGTGCTCTATCACTTTAGCTACAGCTCTACTTCTTCCCTGCTAAGTAGTTAATTGGATATAAGAGCCTCAGACTTTTCTGCCTGGTCTGGCTTTGAACAGTGATCCTCAGATCTCAGCCTCCAGAGTAGCTAGAATTACAGGCGTGAGCCAACAGTGCCCTAACTTCCCTCCACCCCATTCTGCTTAGTCCCAGGAAGTCCTCCACATATCCTTTTTTTTTGGGGGGGTCTGGTCGTGGGGCCTGAACTCTGGGCCTGGGTGCTGTCCCTCAGCTCTTCAGCTCAAGGCTAGCGCTCTACCACTTGAGCCACAGCACCACTTCTGGCTTTTTTTTCTTTTTGCTTATGTGGTGCTGAGGAATCGAACCCAGGGCCTCATGCATGCAAAGCAAGCGCTCTACTACTGAGCTACCTTCCCAGCCCCCACATATCCTTTTTTTTCTTTTTTGTTAATCGTGGGGCTTGAACTCTGGGCCTGAGCCCTGTCCCTGAGCTCTTTCAGCTCAAGGCTAGTGTACTACCACTTTGAGCCACGGCATCACTTCTGGTTTTCTGGTGGTTAGGTGGAAATCAGAGTCTCTCGGACTTTCCTGCCCAGGCTGGCTTTGAATTGCGATCCTCAGATCTCAGCCTCCTGAGCTAGGATTACAGTTGTGAGCCACCAGCACCCTGCACACATATCCATTTTCTCTTCTTAACCCTAGGTACTTCCTCCTCCCGGGAAGGCACACTTTCTTCAGTGGGTCTCAGTTCTGTCCTGGGTACTGAAGAAGAAGAAGAAGACGAGGAGTATGAATACATGAATCGGAGGAGAAGGCGCAGTCCACCTCGTCCCCCAAGACCTGGCTCTCTTGAGGAACTGGGTTATGAGTACATGGATGTAGGATCAGATCTCAGCGCCTCTCTGGGAAGCACACAGAGCTGCCCACTCCATCCTGTGCCCATCCTGCCCACTGCTGGCACAACTCCAGATGAAGACTATGAATATATGAACCGCAGACGTGGTGGAGGTGGTCCCAGTGGGGATTATGCAGCCATGGGGGCCTGCCAAGAGGCTGAACAAGGGTACGAAGAGATGAGAGCTTTCCAGGGGCCTGAACACAGTGCCCCCCATGTCCGTTATGCCCGCCTCAAAACTCTACGTAGCTTAGAAGCCACTGACTCTGCCTTTGATAACCCCGATTACTGGCATAGCAGGCTTTTCCCTAAGGCAAACGCCCAGAGAACATAACTCCTATTTCCAGAGACACTCAGGGACACTTGATGGCAGCTAGTGCTTCTAGAGGGTACCCCTCTTCTCCCAGCTCCCTGTGCCGCCCAGGTCTCAGCCCCATTTCTCCAGTCCTAGACAATTCCAATCAACCTTTGGAGGCTTTTCAACAGCTTGACCCAAAATCTTGTGGTATGTAGCCAGCTATGCACTTTCTTCTCTTTCCCAACCCTAGGAAAGGAGAGACTTTCCTGTTGTGTGTGCCTTCCCAATCCCATTCCTCAGCTTCCTCAGGAGGACTCCCTGAAGATATGAAGGATTACTTTCTAGGTCACTTTTTCTCAGACTCTTCCTCGCTGGGATTACTCCTATGCCTGTCTTTTGTTTCTGATCAGACTGAGAAGGGTAAGCCTAGCTGAGGAAAGCAGAATTTTGGTTTATAATTCTTAATCCTCTAGAAAGATTGGGAAAGCATAAACTTTTGTGGAATGAAGAGAGGTTAAGAGTAGATATTACTATTAATTGGACATTTACTATGAGCCAGGCATTGTGCTAAACTTTACCCACATTGTCTCAATCGATTATAATCCTTACAATTTTGTAAGGCAGAGAACCCTATTATACAAATATAGTAGTTTCCCCCACTCCAGGTATCCCAAAATATCCATTGGGTGCCTGAAACTGGATAGTTCTAAAACCTATAATTAAGGGCTTCTCAATCTTAACTAAGCACTTATCATACAGTATGGCCATAATTGCCATTTGAAGTTTAACAACAAAACTACTAATTTCTTTTACCATTCTCACAATTTCATGGTAGAATTGTTTTTACTGTAGATCTTGACATGCAGTTTTTCTTTTTCCTTAAGTCAAGAATTTTCACCTTTTCAGTTAGCCAAAGCCCTTTCCTTTGGCATCTATGAATTACATCTCTATTCTTGCACTTTGGGGCCAGTTTTAAGCAAAAAAAAAAAAAAAAAAAGGTGCTGGAACTTGAACAATAGCAATGTCATACCAGAACAATCAATCTGATAACCAAGGAAGTTACTGATGGACAGGTAGCTTATACAGAATGGATACACTGGACAACAAAATGATTCATCTACAGGACAGGACAGAACAGAATGATGTGCAATTTCGTCATGCTACTTAGAATGATATGAAATTTAAAATAATTGTAGGCTGGAAGTGTGGCTCAATGATACAGTGCCTGGTGCAAGGCACTGAGTTCAAATCCAATCTGGCCCAAAAAAAAACAAACTTCCCAGGTGTCTGTGGCTCATACCTTGTAATCCTAGCTACTCAGGAGGCTGAGAGCTGAGGATTGTGGTTCAAAGTCAGTCCAGGCAGAAAAGTCCACAAGCCTCTTATCTCTAACCACAAAAAGCCAGAAGTGGAGCTGTGGCTCAAGTGGTAGTGCTAGCCTTGAACACAAAAAGCTCTGGAACGGCACTCAGGCCCAGAGATCAAGTTCTAGGACTGGCAAAAACAAACAAGTAAATAATTTAGGTCATTTCTGGAATTTCTCAATTAATACTTCCAGTCTGCAGCTGTGCAAAATGAAACCTCAAACTGAGGGGAGACTGAGCCTTGATTAAACCTAAGCAGCAAATCCAGGATTTCAAAATCTTTCCAACTCTAGTGCATGTTCTCTTACTGTAAGGTGTCAGGGAAAACTGAGAAGAAGAAAAAAGTCCTCGTAAGGGGCATTGTTTTCTTGTCTTTGCACTGAATCAAGTCAAACCCCAACAGCCACATCCTCCTTTTACAACTCAGTCTTCTCATCACAGGAAGTATGGGGGGAGGGAGGTCAAGAAGGAAAATAACTGGACACCTTTGTGTAAACCATAGCCAAATGTGCTGTAAATGATCACTCCTTCCAAGCTGATTCACAAAGGTCCTCAAGACTCATCATTTCCATCCAGTAATGAGAAGCCTCCAGGTGGAACTGGAAGTAGACTCATCCTCTTCAGACCTCCATCTCTTGTATGGGAACTGAGGGAAATGTCTATTGTATCATTGATGTTTTTTTTATACGTGTCTGAATAAATATGCCAAAGTTTTTTTTTCAGCTTGCTTTCTGTCAAATGGAAACAGTAAAATAGCCAGGTGCCTGTGGCTCATGCCTAGCTAGTAATCCTAGCTACTCAGGAGGCTGAGATCTGAGAATTGTGGTTCAAAGCCAGCTTGGGGAGGAAAGTCCCTGAGACTCTTAACTTCTTCAGCAAAAAGCTGGAAGTGGCAGTGTAGCTCAAGTAGTAGAACAAGGCCTGGTACCAGCACAAAAAGGGGGGGGGGAGGAAAACTACAGTAAAATAAGAGACCACTCCTCTTCTCTGTTCTGTAGTAGATTGCTACCTTTCTCTGTCTCCTGACTTTTCCTAGCTAACCTCACCCCTACCCCCACCTCCAATCCAACTTTCCAGCTCTTCCTTAAAAGCAAGCAGAGGGCACAATCCTTGGGGGGGTGGAAAACATTGGGCCTGTAGGCTATACAAGCCCAGAAAATCATTTGGTACCTAACAGGTCAGATACACAGGCTTCTCCTCTGCTCTCATCAGCTGCCCCTTGCCAGTCTGCCTGTATTGATTTATGTATGACTACCTCAATTGTATTATAAATATTCAAATGGCTCTCGCAGATAAAAAAGGATCCCATCCTCACAAGGTTTTACTAATGATCATTATAGGACAAGTGGAAATAAAACAACAAAAAGCAGCAAGGTAGCAGTTGGCCATACCTGTGATCCCAGCTACTCATGAGGCTGATAGCTGAGGATTGTCGTTCAAATCTGGCCCAGGCAGAAAAGTCCCTGAGACTCGTATGACAAAAAAAAAAAAAAAAAACTACCAAAAAGTCAGAAGTGGAGCTGTGTGGCTCAAGGGGTAGACCACTAGTATTGAGCAGAAAGAAAGAAAGAAAGAAAGAGAAAGGAAAGGAAGGAAGGAAGAAATAATAAAGAAAAAGAGAGAAGGAAGGAAGAAAGAAAAAGAAAGAAAGGAAGGAAGGAAGGCAGCCGGGCAGGCTCAGGGGCAGTGGCCAGGTCTTGAGTTCAAGCCACACCGGCTCCCCCCGCCCCACACACACACATGGGCGCATGCTCGCAAGCAAAAATCCTATAGATGCTTTCTCTTTCACAGGTAGAATACTGAAACCTGGAAATCACGTCAGAACTCATGCTTTTAAGTGAATGACCAAATCCCAAACCTATTGTTAGGGGCTTCGCTATGGGTGTGATTCACACCTGTAATCCCGGGAGGCTAAAATCTGAAGAGTGCGGTTTGAAGCCAACCTGGGCAGGGAAAGTGAGACTCTGATCTCCAATTACACACCCCAATAGCCAGAATTGGAGCCGTGGCTCCAGTGGGTATCGAGCACCAGCCTTGAGCACAAACCCTCAGGGAGAGAGCCCCCAAGTTCTGAGTTCAAGCCCCATAACCACACAAAACAACCTAGCGTGGGAAAAACAGTGCCATCGTCCTTTTCGTGGGTGGGAGTCTGGCTTTTTACCAGCGGAAGCCATAGTAAATGAATCACTTCTTGCTCTGGCGCCCCCCCCACCCCCACTCCCGACCCCAGCTTGAACTCAGGGTCTGAGCTGTGTGGCTCCAGGCTAGCACTAGCGCTCTACCCCTTGAACCACGGCGCCACTGCTAGTTTTCTGGTCACTGGAGATGGGAGGCTCATGGACGTGCCTGCCCGGGCTGGCTCCCAATCTGGACCCTAAGAGCTCCTGCGTAGCCAGGATTCAGGCGTGAGCCACCAGGCGCGGCTCCGCACCCGCACCTAGTCTTCCCCAGGCGCTCGGCTCCTCTCGGTTGGGGCAGCACCGAAGGACGGCTGGACCCGCCGAGCCGGTTGCACCAGCCCGCCTGGAGACTCAGGAGGGCGCGCCCAGGATCCACACCCAAGGTACCGACGGTGCCCACACCGAGCCGCCACCTCTAAACCCATTTCCCCGAGGAACTCCGCCCCTCCTCCGTCGGCCCGCCCCTCTCGGTTACGGGCTCGGCACTCTCCGGAGGTGGTTTTTTCCCGGGGAGACCACGCTTTTCCCCCCCATGCTTCCCAACGGCTCCGCCTTCCCGCCGGAGCCTGACCCTTCCCAGCGTGCCCGGCGATTCCAGCGTGCGAGGCCCTAGGAGGGTAAGGCCCAAGGGCCTGGCCGGGGGGCGCGAAGGGCACGCTGGGAGTTGTAGTTCCGACGCACCGGAAGGAGGCTGAAAGCTGGCGGAAGGCAGGACTCGGTGTCCCACGGTGCCCTGCGCTCAGCCCGCGCGCTCGCAGCTTCTTGCTCTCTCCGTCCGCCCGCCTGCCCGCCCGCTCCCTTGCTAGCTCGCGCTATCCCTTGCGCTCGCCTCGCGGATCGCGGTGGTTCTGGCCACAGTCTTCGGCTGGGAAGGGGGACAGAGGCGACGGCTCAGGGGAATTGAGGCTACAGTGGTGGTGGTAGGAAGATGTCGGGCGAGGACGAGCAGCAGGAGCAAACTATCGCCGAGGACCTGGTCGTGACCAAGTATAAGATGGGGGGCGACATCGCCAACCGTGAGTGGGGCCTCAGGGGTCCGGGAATCGAGGCTAAGAGGGAGAAGGTGTCGGGCTGGAGCGGCGGGGTGCTGCGGAGTGAGCCACCGAGGGGCGAGCACCGGTCCGCCGGGGCGGCGTGGTGGGAAGACGCACTGTCGCGGCGGGGACTGAGCAGCCAGGCCTGGGCTGCAGTGTGTATGGAGGTGCGGGCCAGCGCCCGGCAGGAGCGCAGAGAGGGGTCCCCAGTAGGCTCCGACTCTAGGCCGTTGGTAAGGAGGCAAGGTGCGTCTTCTGACCCTCGCCCTTTAGTCTGGATCTCTGCTGCCTCTGATTCTGGCAGAGACGAGACCAACCTCAAAAATGGAAGAGCCCAGTTGTGGAAGACAGAGGCGCCCCTCGGTTTTGTCAAGGCCCTTGGCCGTCAGGAGCCGAGCCTGCACGTGCTGCCAGGCCCCTGTGCGGATGGCTGGCTTCCCTCTTCCTCTGCTATGGTGCCTGACACCAGCTTCCCCACCACGTGCTTTGCTAGAATCTTTCCTTTATTGCAACTCTTACCCTGGTGGGGGCTCCCTTCTCCCCTTGGGTCAACTCAGGGTCCTGTTGGACAACACTTATGAAGCATCTAACACAGTTCTGGGAGATAACCTGGATTTTAGGGAAGTTATTCGTGACTATCACCGCTCCAGGGAAGTAGTGTAGTCATAGGAAGGCCATCTGCCTTGTTAGCCTTTCTATTTAATCTCAGGACTTGACGGTGTTTCCAGGTCCAGCTCTCATCCTAGTACTAAAAAAGGGGGACTGATTTTGGCATTGTCACAAGCCGTCTTTATTCCAGCTGTGCTCTGACTTTCTCAGCAGTTCCTGCCGTTCCAGGCAACTGTCTCATGTTCTATTTTCTCCTTCTAATTCACTTTACCATTTAAAAATCTATGTAAGCAGATATAAACTGCTTGTCTTTGGGGCTTTAAAGTGGTTTTGACAGGAAAGATAGTTGGGAGGAGGTCTCAGAAATGCCACTGGTTTTGAACCCGAGTTTTTCTGGCTTCCAAAGAATCACCAAAACATCTTTAAAACTCAAACTTGAAAACCAGAATGGATTATGAAGAGGGCAAGAGCACAACAAAATTTTTATAACATAGTAGGCATTTATAGTACCCGTGTTTTTTTGATGCTTTTTAGTATTTGTGTTTAGTATTGAGTGGTTTAAATCAGATAGAAGGGGGAAAAAATGTTCCCACTCTTCCATGTGATGTATAGTTTGAAGCACTTGTGATCTGAGATGCCAGTTTTGAAAATAAGATTAGATATTCCTGAGATCTACTGAAAATTGTAAGTCATCCTGAGTCCCAGGGACCTTAGGTTAAGTCCCTTTGCCTTATATACTTGTTTATGGGGAAATAAGGCCACGTAAATTGAGATTACTAATGTCTAATTAGGCTGTCTGAGAAGGGAAGAAGGTAACATTTAACAATGCATCAGCTTGGAGTCAGCAGTTCTACCTTTTTGTTGTCCCTAACGCCCATAAACTTCTTCTTTGTGTGTGTGTGTGTGTGTGTGTGTGTGTGTTGCCTTGGAAATCATATTAGTTCTATCTTTATTTTTTTTTGTGTGTGTGTGTATATGGAGTGCCTTGGAAATCATATTAGTTCTATCTTTATTACACCAAAAATAACATTTTCTGGAAATCAGAGGCCTTACCTAATGAGAAAAGATTGTATATATCCAGTTGTCACAAAATATGAAGGGAGTGTTGGCCTTTATTTTAGGAAAGGAAGGTAGAGATTAGAGATTATGGGTAGATGCATTCCAAGAGGCAAAACTTCTCCCATTTTTTTTCAGCCTTAGGACAAAGGCACTAGGGAGTATTAAAATCAAATCCAACTTCCAGGTATCCATTGGGTGATAACTAGACAATAAATATAAATACAAACCAGGCTGATCTGTTGGGATTCTGTCCCCAGGAGTACTTCGGTCTTTGGTGGAAGCCTCCAGCTCAGGTGTGTCAGTACTGAGCCTTTGTGAGAAAGGTGATGCCATGATTATGGAAGAGACAGGGAAAATCTTCAAGAAAGAAAAGGAAATGAAAAAAGGTAAAAAGAAATAAAAATCCTTGTTAATATCCCAGGTTTGGCCCTCATTTAGTCCTCTGTTTATCCCCTCCCCCCTTTTTTTTGTAATGATGTACCCCCCCATCCCAGCTCTGGTTGAGATATTTGAAGTGGCAAGTAGGATACAGTTTCCTGCCCTCCAGACTGTGCTTAAGTCCCTTAAAAAACAAGCACAAGGGCTGAGAAAGTGGCTTCTTGGTAGAGTGCTGGCCGAGCATGCATGAAGCCCTCAGTAACCACATAAACAGAAAAAGCCCGAAGTGGCACTGTGGCTCAAGTGGTAGAGTGTTAGCCTTGAGCAAAAGAATCTCAGGGACAGTGCCCAGACCTTGAGTTCAAGCTCCAGGACTGGCCAAAAAAAGGGCACAAAAACTCTTCCACCTTTTTTTTTTTTTTTTGGTCATGGGACCTGAACTCTGGGCCTGGGCGCTGTCCCTCAGCTCCTCATCTCAAGGCAAGCACTGTACCACTTTGAGCCATAGCTCCACTTCCAGCTTTTTCTGCTTATGTGTTGCTAAGGAATGGAACCCAGGGCCTCATGCATGCAAGGCACTCTACCACTGAGCCACCTTCCCAGCCCCCCCTTCCACTTTTTCTAAAGGGCAACCGGGTTCCTGACGGACAGCAAGGCAGTAAGGCTGATGATTCTTTTTACAGGTATTGCCTTTCCTACCAGCATTTCGGTAAATAACTGTGTATGTCACTTCTCCCCTTTGAAGAGTGACCAGGACTATATTCTCAAGGAAGGTGACTTGGTAAAAATGTAAGGTTAAGCCATTCTAGAGCATTTGTCTTTTTCCTAAGCACTTATTTAGTGTCAGTTCCTAATGGAGTAATCTGCTTTTGCCTTTCAGTGACCTTGGGGTCCATGTGGATGGCTTCATTGCTAATGTGGCTCATACTTTTGTGGTTGGTGTGGCTCAGGTAGGTGGTCTGCTTTTGAACTGTTTGGCCTTGATGAGGGGAACTACTGCCTTTTATCCTCATCCTGTGTGGCACCACACAAATTGAGTCTCTAAAAAACAGAAAAGCTTGTCATGTTCATTGGTGGTCTTCCAGTCAATTCCATTCCACACAGATATTAGCCAAAAATGGCCAAGTGAGTTAGTAAGGTGTTCAGGAAGATACTGATTACATTTCCTCATCTACAGGGGACCCAAGTAACAGGGCGGAAAGCAGATGTCATTAAGGCAGCTCACCTTTGTGCGGAAGCTGCCCTACGCCTGGTCAAGCCTGGAAACCAGGTAAGATGTTTGTTCTAAAGATGCACTAGGCTGGAATGACTGCTGTATGGAATTATTGTCTTGGTCCTCTTAAAAACAAGTATCTTAAAGATAACTTAAAGAGATTGGGCAGAAACTAATTTGATATTAAGTAGCAATTAATTATGTGGATCTACCATAGATAATTCTAAGCAAAGGATAAGGATATGTGGTCCCTTCCATATAGACCCTATGTAGATCATTCCTATCTGTGTGTGTATGGTTTTTTTTTTTTTTCTGATGTTTTTGTGCTGGCACTCTGCTACAAAAAAGGTTGGGAGCATGGTTCAGTGGTGGATGCTTTCCTAGGAAGTGCAAGACCCTGTATTCAAACGAGTATCAGAAATACATAGGACATTAAATTCATGCCAAAGTGAGGGCAAATTTTTTTGTGTTTGTTGCAAGACAGTATTTAGAAGACCAGACCTGGTGGAATTCTCATGAACTAATGGGATTGAACATATTAAATTGGTAGTGGAGACCTCTTTCTGTAATGCTTAAATTAGCAGAGATGCATTTGTCAAAATTTCTTTCTTTGTGCTCTCTTACTCACTTTTTCCCCCTGTTCCTCACACTTTTATTCAATTTTCCTTCACCTCCACAATTCCTTAACTACAGTCTGCTTAAATATCTGTCTTAGGGGGCTGGGAAGGTGGCTCAGTGGTAGAGTGTTTGCCTTGCATGCATGAGGCCCTGGGCTCGATTCCTCAGCACCACATAAGCAGAAAAAGCCATAGTGGCGCTGTGGCTCAAGTGGTAGAGTGCTTGCCTTGAGCTGAAGAGCTGAGGGACAGCGCCCAGGCCCCAACTTCCATCTGTTTTTGTTTTCTTGTAATGATTTTTAAATCAGATATATTCTAAGCCCCTTTGAACAGTGAGTTAGCATTGCTTGTTTTGGGCTTTTTATTTTTGTTGTTTTGTATAATAGCTCATATATAGCTATGTAATCGACAGCATCTGTATTACTTACTGATTAAAAGTTATATTGAGCTTGTTTGTCCATTTGTGAAATGGCAAAAGTAAAATTGTGCCTTATTCTCACAGTTGTAACAATGAGATGATCCATGTAATGTATTAATTATAGTTCCTGGTACATAAATATTTAAATATTCAGTAAGTACTAGCCATGGCTAATTATGCATTGGTTTTAAAAAGTTTTTATGTTTAGTGAAAATTTACAGAGAAAAAATGTGGTTGCTGTTCCCTTTTACTAAGTAGAGTGCTAGGTATAAAGAAACAAATGCTGCATATTAGACAATACAGGAATACAAAAATGTTCCAGGTGCTGGTGGCTCACGCCTATAATCCTAGCTACTCAGGAGGCTGAGATCTGAGGATCGTGGTTCAAAGCCTTCCCAGGCAGGAAAGTTCATGAGATTCTTATTTCCAATTAACCACCAGAAAATCGGAAGTGGCACTGTAGCTCAAGTGGTAGGTAGAGTGCTTCCCTTTAGCCAAGAGCTGAAGGACAGCGCCCAGGCCCAGAGTTCAAGCCCCACAACCAACCAAAAAAAAAGTTAAGATATAGATGTGTAAGGTATTTTTCACTTGGAGAGGTAAGTCTATGGAATGAAAATCTAGTGAATAGGTTCTTTGAAGCTTTTTTTTTCTCATGGTAGACAATTTATTAGCTCAATATATCTTCACCTTTTATTTGATCTTATACTTCTAGAATACACAAGTGACAGAAGCCTGGAATAAAGTTGCCCACTCATTTAATTGCACGCCAATAGAAGGTGAGATCTCAGATTACAGGGATGAGGGTCTAGGAATGAGTGGTTTTGCAGAATTAAGGCTTTTGCTCCTTTAAGCATCCACCCTAGCCCTCACTCATTCTATGTCAGAAACCTTAATGCCCTGTTCCTATACCATCAAGATAACTTGGGTGGGTGAAACTTTTTTAGACTCTGGATAGCTGGCACCATCGGCCTTTTCCTGTCTGTAGGTATGCTGTCACATCAGTTGAAGCAGCATGTGATTGATGGAGAAAAGACCATTATCCAGAATCCCACAGACCAGCAAAAGTAGGTGCCAGCGCCCATTCTTTGACTTACTAGACTAGTTGCCAGCCATTTCTGTACTCCTTAATTATGTCCACCTTCTATTCCCAACTCCTTAAGTGACTCCTAATGATTCCCTTTCTATCCCTTTCAGGAAAGACCACGAAAAGGCTGAGTTTGAGGTACACGAAGTATATGCTGTAGATGTGCTTGTCAGCTCAGGAGAGGGCAAGGTGAGGAGAGTACAAGAGTCAGCAAGAATGATGACTGGTGGGGATGGTGTTAAGCCAGACAAAATGTAACCTAACAATTCTTGTAGGCCAAGGATGCAGGACAGAGAACCACCATTTACAAACGAGACCCCTCTAAACAATATGGCCTGAAAATGAAAACTTCACGTGCCTTTTTCAGTGAAGTGGAAAGGCGTTTCGATGCTATGCCATTTACTTTAAGGTACTGTGCTTAGCAAGAACAGGACTTGGAACCAGTCTGACTCAGACAATGTACCCTGGAATGCTTCTCCCCACCCCCACCCCCCCCATCCCTCTCTTCCTTTCCTTCCTGCCCAGACTTGTAGCTTGTGCATGAATGCAGGTGCTCTCTTCTCACCTTCTCCTGATCTCCTTTCTCATGGAAGGTAATTTAAAAGAGCGACTCTAAGCATTTCTGTCTAAGGGTAGGAATGATTTTTAAAACAGGAGTAAGCAGGATAGATGTGGTTCAGGTGATAGAACACCTGTCTAGGAAGTCACTTCAAACCCCAGACCCACAAGCTAAATACCTGAGTGATACAATACTTACCTAGCATGTGAGAGATGCTAGAAAATTAGTAAAATGATTAGACTCAAACTGATTTGGGCCTAGTGATTACATCTGCAGTTCCTACATTTGGGAGGCTGACTGAAAATTTGATGCCAGCCTGGGCTACATGGCAAGACCCTGTGTCAAAAAGCAAAAGTAACTAAATGAGAGGTCTTTATAGGTAGTTAAGGATACCTCTGAATTCTATCTTCCTCTTCCCCAGAGCATTCGAAGATGAGAAGAAAGCTCGAATGGGTGTGGTGGAGTGTGCCAAGCATGAGCTGCTTCAACCTTTTAATGTTCTCTATGAGAAGGAGGGTGAGTTCGGATCATGGTTTGGCTTTAGAGTTTCTGACTTTACAGTGTCCTACTCCTTGTAACTTCAGAAGAGAACTAAGTGTGGGCAAAGGGACCTTTTACCAAAATACATCTTCAATTTCCCATAGGTGAATTTGTTGCCCAGTTTAAATTCACAGTTCTACTCATGCCCAATGGTCCTATGCGGATAACCAGTGGTCCCTTTGAGCCAGACCTCTACAAGTCTGAGCTGGAGGTTCAGGATGCAGAGTTAAAGGTCAGTGTGAACTGGAAAGTGGTGAGCATGTGGCACCTGTCCTGGGAGTGAACAACTTGAAAAGAACTGCAGTGTTGATCGACACTTGGAATTTCTTTCACATTCCTTAGTGTGTTGTTGCCTTCTCTCTGTTTTGCAGGCCCTTCTCCAAAGTTCTGCAAGTCGGAAAACCCAGAAAAAGAAGAAAAAGAAGGTAGTTATGATCATTCTCTTTTGTTTTTTTTTTGTCGGTTGTGGGGCTTGAACTCTGGGCCTGGGCGCTGTCTCTCAGCTCTTCAGCTCAAGGCGAGCGCTCTACCACTTGAG